AACCACTCAAATTAATGCAATCTTTAAAAATCTTCTTCTTTACTCCTGGACATCAAGCAGTCAATCTGTTTGCATGATTGTAATCAGCATTGAGTCCTCTACCAAAATTGTGAAATTCATGGCCCTGGGGTCAGGGGTTCTAGTGCTAGGGCGGGGCAAAATAAGTAGGTAGTGAAAATGCATTATTTCTTTGAAAATCTTCTTCTCTGCTCCTGGGTATTAAATAAACCAACTAAGTACATAGTTATGATGAGCAAGAGTGCCTCTACCATAATTGTGAATTTTATGGCCCCAGGGTCAAGGGTTCTGGTGTTAGGGCGGGGCTCTATTGATTATATAGTGAAAATACATTATTTCTTTGAAAATCTTCTCTGCTCCTGGGTATTAAATAAACTAACTAAGCAAAAAGTTATGATGAGCAAGATTGCCTCTACCAAAATTATGAATTTTATGGCCCCAAGGTCAAGGGTTCTTGTTTTAGGGTGGGGCTCTAATGGTTATATAGTGAAATGCATGAATTCTTTGAACATCTTATCCTTTGCTCCTGGTTAATATGCTAATGATCTAATTACATATTTAAGGCCAGGATTTATTTTATTTTCAGTTTTATAAACCCTCCGCTCAAGGTTTAGAATTTTCAGAAAAAATAAAACAATTTTTTCTTTCCGATGTCAAATTTGAGTCGGGATCGAGATTTCAAATTTAAAAAGTCGCACTTCCGGTTTTAAGATGAAACGGCGGGTAAATAATGCTAGATCTATCTGAGAAGATAGTTTGGTTAAGTGTAAAATTCATCGATTCGAGTGCCATTCAAAACGTTTCACCCGTTCAAAGGACAAATAAAACGCTGACGACTTTGTTGCACAATGACATGCTGGTGAGATTATTATGTGTTAGTTTCAAAAGTATCTGTCTGTAAATTATTTTCCTCCCCCAGGTTTTAAACTGCCAGTGGTAGCTATTGCATATTGTCAGCGACATTGTTTAGATCTCTGTTATAGCTTACAGTCTAAGCATCATTCTTCAGAAAAGGGTTGCTTATGCATCAGATGTAATGAATAAAACTATGGGAGAAGTTTAGTCCATTTGAGGAAGAAATAAACAATAACCTGAAGAAATAAAGAAAAAATTCAACTATTAAAAGGCAAAAATATACAAATATATACAGGCATGAAGTATCATTTGTATCAGCCAGTAAAAAAATTTACACTTAATTGAAAAAATGTTCACCCTACTCTCTAATACTCCCTGTCTGTTTTATGATAGGAATTATATAATTTTAGGCATCAAGTAAATTTTAGAACAATGCCTACACATTCACCGAACACATATCAAAAAAATGAAGATATATTGAAAGACATTTAAAGAATTGATTTTTTTTACATACATATTGACCAACATCACAAAATTTATATAACTGGCCCAAACTGGCAGATGATGAAATAAGCAATGTTCTACTTTCGTATTTGTAAGCATTATGTGTCCAGTGGTAAGGAGCCTATTAGAATGGCATAAAAAAAGAATGTACAAATGTTAATAATTGATTTATCAAAAAAAAAAAAAATTATTTTCTTCTCATTCGGGACATTTTTATTCTCATGTTCATAACTAAACCTAAACATAAAAAAAATGCTGGCCTTGTAATGAAGAAAGGGGCCTCTTTCAAAATAGATAATTTCAGGGCTGCTGGGTCAGGGGTACCAGGGGGGTACTTTGACTAAAAATAAATTAATGCTTTGAAATCTGCCCTTTGATAAGCAATGGTGCCTCTTTACAAATTTGTGAATTTCATGGCTTTTGGATTAAAACACGAACCAAATACAATCACTGGAAAGTTGTTGCATGATACTCAGGTGACCTATAAGGCCCGTGGGCCTCTTGTTAATGTCAAACTAGCACTTCACACATGTTGACTTTTTCGCGCCATATTTCATAGTCAAAATTTATTGTCCATCAATTTAAGGCTGTTTACTTATGTTTCTTTTATGTTTTTTGTAGCTTTCACTATATATATATGTATAGATGCCTATACTGTGCATGACGCACTTGAATAAAGCATTTTCAACACAAGTGTACCGACTCGGGCTTTATAAAGGCTGCCTCTTGCAAAATTGTGAATTTTATTGCCCCTGGATCAAGGGTTCTTGTGTTAGGGCGGGGCTATATAGATTATACCCTTGGTATATTGGAAAATTAATGCATAAATTCTGTGAAAATCTTCTTTGCTCCCGGATATTAAACAAACTAACCAAGTACATAGTTATGATGAGCAAGAATGTCTCTTTCAAAATTGTGAATTCATAGCCCCAGGGTCAAGGGTTCTTAGGTCTAGGACAAGGCTATATAGATTATAGAGTGAAAATGCATTTTATTTCTTTGAAAATCTTCTTTTCTGCTCCTGCGTATTAAATAGACTAACCATGTACATACATGTAGTTATGTTGAATAAGGCTGTATCTACCAAAATTATGACTTTCATAGCCCCAGATTCAGGGGTTCAGGTGTTAGGGCGGGGCTCTTGATTGTATAGTGAAAATGCATTATTTCTTTGAAAGTCTTTTCCTCTGCTCCTGGGTATAAAACCAATGAACTATGTACATAGATATGATGAGGAAGGATGCCTTTTCCAGATTTGTGAATTTCAGGGTCATGGGTGAGGGGTTCTTGTGTTAGAGCGGGGCTCTAATGATTATATAGTGAAAATGCATGAATTCTTTGAAAATCTTTTTCCTTGTCTCTGGGCATTACGACAATGATCTAAGTACATATTTATGATGAAGAAAGCTGCCTCTTCCAAAATGGTCAATTTCAGGACCCCTGGGTCAGGGGTACTTAGGTGAGGGGGGGGGGTATATACATATTAGTCTGAAAATTAATATTTGGAAATCTGCTCCTTGGTGTATTAATCAACAATTTATGATGAAATAACATTTACGATAAAAGTTTCAAAATTTTGAAATATGTGGGCCCAGGGTCAGTAGTTCCTGTGGTGTGCACAACTGGTTATAAAGTACAAATGCATTTTCTCTTTGTCACTCTGGGTATTAAGTAACCAAAGTACTTGTAAGCATGCTTAGTGTATGGTTATGATAAGCATTTAATTTGAATTTCATGGACTCTGGTTTAAAACACGATCCAAATTCATTTGTTGAAAAGTTGTTAGATGATTCTCAGGTGACCTATAAGGCCCGTGGGCCTCTCGTTTCATCGGCCCACCAATTTCTGTCCGTATAGGACCCAGGTGTATACCTTTGTTCAGCGTCGGTGGCAATTTTTTTTCAGTTTTTCGTAAATGTCGATCGACGAAGAAAATCAAACTCTGCTGGATGATCGACCAATTTTGAAATCATGCTCTGCGTCAGTACCAGTAGTTTTAATTGCATGTCGAGATCTATCGGCTTGAATTTGACCTAGGCATACCACTAACCGCAATTTTACGCTGATATATTGTGTATCAGTTATCAAAAAATGTATGCCACAAATGTATCTGACATTACAAATCTAGATTGAATAACTGAGACGGAGATAAAGCAATGTAAACTTCACCTTACTTCCCCCAGTTCGTTAACTTTTGTTGAAAATGCACCATAATATACACTTCATGTTCAAAGAAAATTTATGGTTCTAACTTTCATGTATAGTGAGAAGCTGAGAGGAAACCATTTGAACCAGTCTGCTGCTTTGTTTTCTGCACATCGGCCATTTTATGATACTTTGATAATTAGAGCAGAATATCGTTCAGCACACGAATAAATTGTAAAAGGACATTCTCTTTTACCATTAATTAATCTGCAGGATGTTTTAAAAAGCTGATTTAATGTATGAATAAACAAAAGAATAAAGTTCTCTAAAAAGCCTTGAAATTGTTGCTAAAGTTGGAATGACTATGTTTACTGTATTACAGCTTAAAAGGTGGATCTACTAGACTAAGTATATATTAGCGTGTTCATACATTCTTTGAATTCATCTCTTCATCTTTTTACTTTTGTCTGTTCACAAGATGTACAGATTTACGGGGACACAAGTTTCTCTTGGTTTTGATGTGTATACGATATTTCATCCCCCAGGAAATTAATAAATCTTCCATTGAACCCTGTGTTTAAGATTTCATTTAAACAAAATTGGTCAAAAAAGATACAAATTACTTCAAGATTTCAGAATTTTGTGAAAATTATAATCATGCTGATCAATTTTCATGGAACGTGAGTAAAGACAGAAACATGTATATCCAACTCCACCTTATCTTCGTTTATGATGAATTTTGAAATGAAATTAAAACGGCATTCGCTGTTCAAAATAAGGCAAGGTGAGTACATTGACATGTGTATAAATTATAATTATCACTCATTACCATACAAACCACTGAACCAATTTCAACCAAATGTGGTATACAGCTCCTATGGGTGAAGGGGAACAAATATTGTGAATTTTATGGTCCCTGCCCCCCTGGGGCCTGAGGGGTGGGGCAAATCAAGCAGTCAAACTGTTGGCATGAATGTAATGAGCATTGAGACCTCTAGCAAAATTGTGAAATTCGTGGCCCCAGGGTCAGGGGTTCTAGTGCTAGGGCGGGGCTATATAGATTATATAGTGAAAATGCATCATTTTTGTAAAAATCATACACTGATACAGTGTAGTATTTGTTGAACTGTTAGTGAAAATTTGGCCTTACCCTTATCAAGAGAGAAATTAAGGTTCTTAGGAAGCATACGTGTACATATATGCCTTGAAGTTCTAGGTATTTTATAAGTTTTCTTCCACATCATTATTTGAACCTTCATTGTTGTCTCTAGGACCATTTTATTTGAATAAACAGTGAAATCTATTAATTGAGGGAGACTAAGCGTTTTATTTTTTTTTTCCTGATGCATTTCCTAACCTAGGGATACTGTCTTGTGCCAAGTTTTGTTAAAATTGGTTCAGCATTTTGAAAAGGAAGCTAAAATATGAATTACTTTTATTATTACAAAGGCAACGAGAGGAAAAAATTGAAGAGGAACTAGGTATTTTATGCATTTATTAAGGTAAGAAATTGTATTCCAGTACTATTCTGCAAGTTTGTAACTATTACATGTACCTTCAAATATCCAGCGTCTAATATAATATTACATGAATATTATACTTTACCTACATTATCACATAGGTTGATTCCTAAGAATAATCAAAACTATCACATATACATTGTTCGATGTTTCTATATGATATACTAGTAATATCTTTACTATTGCCTTGTTTTTTATAATGGAAAGAGACTCGATGGAATGTTTGGACAAACGTCATCAATCGATGTTCACTCAATATGTCACTACCGGTGCATCTATCAGCCCCCTTTTCATATGAAAGGTCATGACCTTGAAAAGTTGCACCCATGCAGATTCCATTTCCTGTGTCCACCTGTCGCCAAAATGAGGCTTAATGGCAATGACAAATTGATTTCCAACCAGCTGAAAAAAATGACAAAATTTAAACTTTTATTCCAATGAAAATACCTGGTATATGATTTCTTTTGCTCCTCCTATTAAAATTTATAATTTTATGTACATGTACGATACAAAATATCATCAACAAGGTACATTATGATTGTACAACTTTGTAGAATTCTGTTTCATATTCTTACCATGTGTGTACGACAAAGAAATATCTTTGGTGAGTGTTAATGAAAAGTTCACATACGTTAAATAATGAAATTATTGCTAATTGAACTAAAGGGTCCTAGCCATCCACTCGACTTTCTGACCACGAAGTAAACACTGTCGTCACCAACCTCTTAATCACCTCATGCTCAGAGCAGTTTACAAAATGAAATGTAATTCCCACAGCTGTATTTTTCACTCAGTTTCCCGAAAATGAATTTTCTTCATTTCCATTAGGGACATTTCTTACATTGACTTCCATTACAAGATGTTTTAACTCTAACAGTAAATATAGACTTCTTTTCCATCTATCTGCATTTAAATTTGAATACGGCCGAGTAGAATAAAATTTCAAAAAATACCGTCTAAAATAATAAATCAAAATTTTGATAAATTTATCAATTTAATCTGTCCCGACTTACAGTTACATATATTCAATAAAAGCATTGAATTTAGTTCGTTCTGGAAATAGAATACTTGATATAAAGATCAGACACTACAAAAGAATGACCTTAAGTTTTCTTTGCGGAGGTAATATTTCACTGTATAAAGGTCACTTATATTGATGATAATTAATGTATTAACGACATGTAGAGATATTGGAAGAAAAATCTGACGCGTGTTGGATTATTATTATATTTCCTCCCTCTTATGTAGCAAATGTTTTCAATCAGCTTCGTGAGCATTTAAAGCAAAATTACGTGATAAAATTCAGGAATAGTGCTTTAAAAATTGATCAAGATGGTCCTTAGCACATACTTGAATTGAACCAGGCAATTAAAAATTACTCATTGCTATTAATTTAACAGTAAATTAATCCGTCTATGCTGATCAATGCAGGTATTTTAAGTGACAATGAACAGGTGTGATACGAGTTTTTATTTAAAAGATATGGACATCCGAAGTACAGAGGAGGTATAAATGTAGCTCATCAGTTGGCTAGCTTTCTGTATATACATAGAGCTGTAATGTCTTTTTCAGACGAAATCATCAAAACTGTTTGACGGAATAAAAATTACTGACACGTTAGTGCACATAATAAAATGTAATGCTTACATCGACAAAGTCGTATCGTGCATTGTAATGTGTATGCCTCTCTCCAAGTTCGTGCATGAGGTTATGTAATTTTTCGGGAGTTTTTATTCTGCCTATGCACTTTTCGACAGTTCCCATAACCCTCAGAGCATGAGACCGTAGAATGGCGCTATGTTCCATGTCCTCTTTGGAAAGTTGCTGGAATGGCAAAAAGGCATCTTGTACTTCTGGGTGGGTTTGAAATAAACTGAAAAGATACAAAGATATTTCTATTTGAAAATGACATAATTCTTTTTATTATGGGAAGAATTTTTGGAACTGAAAAGGGGCAACCAGTTTTCGGTGTTAGAGAATTAACTGGACGGATTTACATGATTGTACATACACATGTATACACCGAGCAATGCATATAAATCCAATACATTGTGATATGCCTGATGTCACAGTAGGTGTCTGATTACAGAACAGCGGGGATTTATATCACACCCTCTATAGATTAAAACCTTCAAAACAAAATTTATGATAATAGACCTTTTTACCGCTAACATTCTCTGGAAAAAATGCATATAATTTTATTGAATGTTTATACAAAACTCTAGTCTGTATACTCTTTAGGAATGTAAAAAAAAACCCACATTAACCTGAATATGAAAAATGGCCAAATTATTTCTTGCTAATTTCTAGTATACAATTTTGCGAAGTTAGAGATACATGTAACACGTAAAAATAAGAATGTTTTATACATGTCGCCATCGTAATTTTACTTCAATTATGCTTAAGACATGAAAATAAGCGATCCTTGTTGCATGCGTAATAGCTCATCTACAAAGTAATACATGTCTATTTTATTACATTTAAGTTATAACTCATTGTAAAATTTCGAAGTGATATTATAATAGTGTTCAGCTTGTAAGTAATTACACCTAAGTGCAATAGAGTATAGATGAAGAGCATAACGATTTGAATTTTAAAAAAAAAAGTACAATCCCTTTTCTAAGATCTTGATGCAAATATTTCGTGTTATTATTGAAAAAAGCACAATAATCTTTTTTTTAAACCTCAGCGTTAAACAAAAGGATCTAAAATGAAATCCACCACGCAATTCTTTTTCTGATGTTTGTTTCTCTCGTTAAACATTTTTGAAATGCATATGTCAGACAGTAAATGGCATTTATCAAAAGTGTAGGCTTTAAGACACCTAGATGCCATTAAAGTTCTTTGAGATGATTATATCTCTCTGAAATGAAACAATTTTATGCTGTTTTTAGACATTTTTACGTATCCCGTTATAAATAAAACGCTTTATTTCTTTCGTTTTTTTAAAGAATGCATTTGTATTCCTTTTATTTTTACATAATCACCTTGGCACTTTCGACAAATGATTTTTTTGTATGAAAATGTTTGAAAACCTTGGGGCCAATTACAGATCACATACAAGTTATGGCATAAAAGACAGATGCGACAAAAATCAATGCAAAGAGCAGAAGATTTTGGAACAGATCCTCGTCAGAAAGAACATAAACTGGCTCGTACGAAAGATGAAGGTAGTATGAACGTCATATTTTAAAATATCAAGGAATTGGTTAAGCATGAAAAAACACGAAAGAATTATGTGCGGAATAACAATGTCGTAAAAAGCTACAAAACGACAATGCATTCATCCTCTTTACAACTTCTCTCTTGTTTTGTATATAAGAAACCATGACATAATTACTCAAAATTAAAGATGTTTAAAATATTTGTTGAAAGAATGTGTGAAGTCAACTTATTTAATCTTAGGGGACTGACGATACATTTCATTTTATATGCTTTCTAAGTGTAAGTTCGTGTTCGTGCAGAGGAATTATGATCAAAATGCTGTAAAATTCATAACTAAGGGTGATATCTTCCCCTTTAAATGATTTGCACAGCACACAACGTAATTATGTACCTTTACCTTTAATAATTTAATTCACGATTCGAAAGATAAATTCAGCTTTCCCGACTTTTGAAAAAAAAAGGGCATGTGCTGCTTGGCAAAAAAGAGTGTAGTTATTACTAGTATTCAAGAATTTAATGCATTAAATGCACGTACATCCATGTATGTTTTTGAACAAGGAATGTAAGGACTTAATTAAATAAAAGCCATCGTTCTTCATCTTCTTAACGTCTTATTTTGTGTGAACTGAGGTGAAGCTACAATACCTGGGAGGTTGCTGTTTTGTGTGAACTGAGGTGAAGCTACAATATCTGGGAAGTTGCTGTTACATCGCTCTAATCGTTTAAAGAAACGTATATAGTATACTATTTTCTATTCTACTCCTATATTAAAGATATATATGCCGTGTTAAACAGTATTTTTGCACAGCTGAAGCCCAACAAACATTTCTGAAGTATGATGAGCTATAAAAAATGAAGCATTCTTGCAAATTCGACGAAATATTCGTTATTAACAAAGTACTGGTCAGGAAAAGAACATTATATTCTAATGCATATTTATGGACTGACGTTTATGCTGGATCTGCGTATGTGCGCGGGAAAAGTATCGCGAGAATCATCAGGTCGAGGAAACTATTTTCAATGAGTTGGATTATAGGTTACTACATAAAATACATGTACTACATGCGTTTTTCGAAAAGGCTAGTTTTTAGCTCTACTGGTCAGAGACCAGAAGAGCTTATGCGATAGTAATGCGTCCGGCGTCCGTCCGTCTGTCTGTCTGTCTGTCCGTCTGTCTGTAAACAATTTTTCAAAATGCTACTCCTCCTACAATTTTAGTCTGATTTCAATATCACTTGGCACACAAGTAGACTACACTAAGATACATAGAATAGTGCATCGGTTTTTTATTTCGATGAACGATGTTGCCATGGTTACTAAAAATAGAATTTTCTGTGAAATTCCTTTAAAACGCTACTCCTTCTACAATTTTGGTCTGATTTCAATATAACTTGGCACACAAGTAGACTACACTAAGATACATAGAATAGTGCATCGGTTTTTGATTTCGATGAACGATGTTGCCATGGTTACTAAAAATAGAATTTTCTGTGAAATTCCTTTAAAACGCTACTCCTTCTACAATTTTGGTCTGATTTCAATATAACTTGGCACAAAAGTAGACTACACTAAGATACATAGAATAGTGCATCGGTTTTTGATTTCGATGAACGATGTTGCCATGGTTACTAAAAATAGAATTTTCTGTGAAATTCCTTTAAAACGCTACTCCTTCTACAATTTTGGTCTGATTTCAATATAACTTGGCACAAAAGTAGACGACACAAAGGTACATAGAATAGTGCATCGGTTTTTGATTTCGATGAACGGTGTTGCCATGGTTACTAAAAATAGAATTTTCTGTGAAATTCCTTTAAAACGCTACTCCTTCTACAGTTTTGGTCCGATTTCAATATAACTTGGCACACAAGTAGACTACACTAAGATACATAGAATAGTGCATCGGTTTTTGATTTCGATGAACGGTGTTGCCATGGTTACTAAAAATAGAATTTTCTGTGAAATTCCTTTAAAACGCTACTCCTTCTACAATTTTGGTCTGATTTCAATATAACTTGGCACAAAAGTAGACTACACAAAGATACATAAAATAGTGCAATGGTTTTTGATAAGTACAAACCAGTAGAGCTACAGTCTCGACAGAGACTTCTGGTTTAAATCGCTCTCGGAAAGACGTGATGCATTTTTCCAAACATTTTACACGCTTAATGCATTATGTACATTATTATCTACTAATCCCATGCTCACATATGCATACAAATGTTTAACAATGGTTAAAAATTAGGGTTTTCCCACTCCATTGCACAAGTCCGTTTGTTTACAGCTTTCCCAGCGCTGCACTGTCAGTGAAAAGTCAATTTCACGTGACTATTCCTCAGTACAAAAAGCAACCAACGTATACAACTTCGAAAGTTCTACGATCAATGCCCATGAGAATTAATACAGAGAGGATTTTTTTTAAAAAAACGTGCAACTTAAGTCTTTTTTAAACCAGAAGTCTCTGTCGAGACTGTAGCTCTACTGGTTTGTACTTATAACAAAGGATGAGAAAAGAAGCCATTGCCATCAGATCAAAACTGTAGAGCGTTTTAAAGGAATTTCACAGACATTTCTACTTTTAGTAACAATAGCAACACTGTTCATCAAAATCACAAAACCGATGCACTATGTATCTTAGTGTAGTCTACTTGTGCGCCAAGTAATATTGAAATCAGACCAAAACTGTAGAAGGAGTAGCATTTTTAAGGAATTTCACAGAAAATTCTATTTTTAGTGACCATGGAAACACTGTTCATCGAAATCAAAATCCGATGCACTATTTTATGTATCTTAGTGTAGTCTACTTGTGTGCCAAGTTATATTGAAATCAGACCAAAACTGTAGAAGGAGTAGCGTTTTAAGGAATTTCACAAAAAATTCTTTTTTAGTAACCATGGCAACACCAATCATCGAAATCAAAAACCAATGCACTATTTTATGCATCTTAGTGTAGTCTACTTGTGTGCCAAGTTATATTGAAATCAGACCAAAACTGTAGAAGGAATAGCGTTTTAAAGGAATTTCACAAAAAATTCTTTTTTAGTAACCATGACAACACCAATCATCGAAATCAAAAACCAATGCACTATTTTATGTATCTTAGTATAGTCTACTAGTGTGCCAAGTAATATTGAAATCAGACCAAAACTGTAAAAGGAGTAGCGTTTTTACGAAATTTCACAGAAAATTCTATTTTTAGTAACCATGGCAACACCGTTCATCAAAATCAAAATCCGATGCACTATTTTATGTATCTTAGTGTAGTGTACTTGTGTGCCAAGTTATATAAAAATCAGACCAAAACTGTAGGAGGAGTAGCAATTTTGAAAAATTGTTTACGGACAGACAGACAGACAGACAGACGGACGGACACCTTACTATTGCATAAGCTCTTCTGGTCTCTGACCAGTAGAGCTAAAAATGCAATAACTTTAAATTTTTATTAACAAATAACTGAGGAACAACTAATTCAACCAGTTACACTGCAAATTTACGAATATCGAGTTTAAAAACTGGAGTCTTATTTACTTGTGGAGACTTTGTGAGCGGTATTTCAAAGTACTTTTTAACAAGGAAAACTGAATTTGTTCGTTAATATGAGCATGGGAATTCTTAATTATCTATTCTTCGTATTTTTTTTTCTTAAGCACGCTTCAAAAAATTGTAAATTGGCTTTCCAGCAGTCATTTGAAATCGCATCCTATATTT